CCCCTCGTCCTCCTTAAGACCCTCCCAGCTAGGAAAGGACACTGGGTCCACAGAGAGGCTGCTGCATTATCTCAAAGTTTTCTCTCTCAGGGGACAGAGCAAACATTATAAAATGTGAGATAAACATATTTCTATCTCAGGGGTGGCACAAGATCTCCCAGGGCGGCCCCTCACAGCTCCCTCGTCAGAGATCTTTTGGGGGGTGGCCGAGTGGGTGGGGGCTGTGTTCATGGACCAGAGAGGGACAACGGCATATGGGAGGGGCCTCGCCCCTGGTGAAATGGCCTGACAATAATCTTTCGATCTGACCTGGGTGAATTTGGGGCAGCCTCAGTCTAACGATTTCTACATGCTTGTCAGGACACACCAATGCCAACATCCCTTGACTGACTCTTTGCCGCTGAATTGAGCCTTTTTCTGAGCACACAATGTCCTAGTCAGAACTTGCTGAACTGCACACGAGTTTGGCATAGACAGCAGGACATGGAGGATACTGGGGTGTCTTTGGCTCTAGATCCCTCCAGGCCAGAAAGAAAAACCACGAGAGGTAGAGGCAGAGGGGCCTCGGGGAAGTGACACTCATCAGTACAGGCCAGAAAGGAGACTTACAGGAAAAGTAGTACATGTGGAGGCTTTTCTAGAACCATCAGGGCCATCTGCCTACTGTGAGGGGAGGGGAGGCAGAGCACAGGGGCACAGGTGCCGGGGCAGGCCGGCTACTGGGGCAGGCGGCTGCCACTGAGGCACTGCATGGGGCTGGGAGAGGGAAGAAGGCTGGAGGGGACCAGGGATGATGTGAAACACGGGCCTGGACAGGGAAGCAGATGAGCCAAGCCCTCGGGTGGCCCTGTAAGATCACGGCCACACTTTCAGAGTGAGAACGTGGGACTTTGGGTGCAGCATGTCCCTACCAAGCTCCACGTGCAGAGTGGGCCAGGGTGGGGGCAGCCAGGCTGGGCTGTCGGGAGACAGTAACAGCAGTGGAAGTGGAGAAGGGCAAGGCGGTTAAGGGGCTGGGGAGGGAGAGGTGACTCAGGGGTTCTGGACAGTGAGGTGGAGGAGACAGCTTCCCATCGGGACCAAGGACATCTGCAGAGTGGTTCTTGGAGCACAAGTCCTGTGTGCCAAGGGTCACAGGTGGTTCAGGGTGGTCAGGATGGGAGTGTCACCAGCGAGGTGTGTGTGACCTTGGAGAGTGGCTTAACTCACCAGTGCAGACCCAGTGGCCACAGTGTAAATGAGGGAGGTGGCAGACCTTGTCCTGTGCAGTTGGGCTGGCAGCAGCTGAGGGCAGGGGGAAGACAGTTCTTCCCCAGGAGGTCACAGGGACTCGGACCACTCTGTCTTGTTATCCAGTCATCAGCAATGCTGCCCCTGCCCACGGGCCCTGCTGCAGCCCCCTGGAGATGTGAGGAGGAAGAGGAAGGGCAGCTGTCTTTTCAGGGCCTGCCAGTGGCACATGCTGTCATCCCTTGGCCAGACAAAGATGGGAGGATGGAAAGTGATGTCCAGTAGGGCATCTGAGAGACGATATGTGAGTGGGGGAGGCACTCCTATTAACCAAGACGAGGAGGAGAACGGACCAGAGGGTCCCCTCTTGACTGTTACCGCTGGTGGCAGGAGCCAGAGATGAATCAGGGAGAAAAGATCAAGGAAGTGAGGGACAGCAGAGTGGCACATGTGGAGGGTGACACTCCCGTGGAGGGTGACGCCAACACAACCAGCTCAGCAGCAGCTGTGTGACCAGGCCTCTTTGGGCTCTTGGTCTGTAATCCCACCGTGAGTCCAGAGTCCTGCAAACCCTCTTGCCCCTGTGCCCCTTCCAAGGCAGCCCATGGCCAGGTTGGTGTGATGAGGATACTTTATGTGAGAGACGTGGAGAACATACACTGGTTTGGGTGTGTTAAGGTGTGGTGGACACAAGCAGATGCTGTGACTTTGGGCAGCGCCCTGTCTCCCAGTGGTTGTGTTCCCAACAGGACTTCCCCAGAGCCTCCCGCAGGGTGGGGTCCCAGAGCTTCACAGTGGAGACCTGCAGTGTGTTCCCAACGGGACTTCCCCAGAGCCTCCCCCAGGGCGTGGGTCCCAGAGCTTCACAGTCGCGACTGCATGTATTTTCTTTTTGTCATCTTACATCTTGGGAAACTGAGGCACAAAGAGATGAAACCTTTTTCCCAAGTCTGTATCACTAGCCTGGAGCTTCCTCACCTGCCCTAGTGGGACCCTGGTTCATCCCTGTGTCCTATGAGTGCTACTGAGGTTCCTTCTCACCTGCCCCTCCCCACCTCCCAGGGCTATGTTAGAGGGAAACAAGGTCAGGTTCCAAAGAGATTACTGCACATAATAAGTCTAAAAACTCACATCAGGAACAATCATTTATCTAAACGGACCTAAGAGATGTCGATGACAGGTGAGCGTGATGGCTGAGGGCGGGGCAGTGTCACCTGACCGTGCCAGGTTTATTAGATGTCCCTTACTGACATGGGGTAATGAGGGAGACCATGCACAGGACAGGACAGTGTCCCTTGGGAATGGGCCAGAGAACCCAGAAGCAGCAAGGGACACTGAAGGGAGGCCCTGCACCTCCTGCCAAGCACTGTTCACATCAGGTTTGGTGAAAAGCACATCTGGTGGCACCAGAAAGAGGGGGTGCAGTAGAGCAGGGCTCCCTCTCCACCAGCCTGGGTGGCAC